CGTAACGCAAGACGTAACGTAAGACGTAACGTAAGACGTAACGTAAGACGTAACGTAAGACGTAACGTAAGACGTAACGTAAGACGTAACGTAAGACGTGACGTAAGACGTAACGTAAGACGTAACGTAAGACGTAACGTAAGACGTAACGTAAGACGTCGCACAGTGCTTATTGTTGGCAGTACTGAGGTAATGTGGAATTGAGATGCAACAGGTGGTCGCGGCGACGTGACGCTCTGGCCCCCCGCGCGCGGCCCGTGTGGTATAAACTGGTTCGTTTAAAAAGGAATAATTAAGATCAGAAGAGTATTTTAGGACCTCACGGAAAAAAATGGTTGAAGTGGGCAACCAAAAAGTCGATCGCTACGACTATTTTTCCCGATACCAGGAGTATCGACTTTCTGATTGTGACAAGCGAGCGGCATAGCTGCAGCAGCAGGTTAGTTGCGACAACCGACGGGTTGATCGTGGCGATCAGAATCGCTAATAGCAGGAATCGAACTTTACTGCGTTGTGGGGACTAGAGTCGTTTGACACCTCGTGGCTGCAGTTAAAATAGTAAACGCTGCGATCGATTTGTCGTCATAGAGGACATGTTAAACGGGTATCATTTGTTTTGTCTGATTTTTGGCTTGAGTTGGTTATTGAAGTATAATATCAAAATTCTGCGATCCACTGAGGTTCGGCAGGTATCAAAAATCGGCAAGTCTTATCAATCGCCTGATGATAGATTGTAGACTGACTCTTTTCAGAGTACCATGTAGACGTCACTCGGGACACCCAGCAATGGAGGCGACCAAAGGCCTCACCGCGAGGTAACAGAAATATAAGCGTATCTTCCCGTTCAAAAAAATGTGCCTTTAGAATGTCTCTTTGAGAGACATCGTCCAGACGTCTCCACCGATGTTTCTCAAGCCACGCCTGAGCCTTTGCTGGGGCAACTCAGAGACACTTAGCATGGCTCTAGAAAAGATCTTTTAAGGCCAATAAAAGACATCTTATAGCGAGCATGCAATGCAGACACCGAGCAGACTATCGATAGACATTATAGGGACTGCCCGGAGACAACGCAGAGACTGCGAGGAGACTTCGTGAAGACATAGGAGACACTATAGAGACATACAGGAGACACTACAGAGACATCCAGGAGACACTATAGAGACATCCGGGAGACTAAAGAGACAACGAGAAGACAAAATACAGACATCCTGAAGACAACCTAGAGACGTCCTCCGGTCACGGAGAAACAGCGCGCGGAAAAGTTCGATGCGTACTGGAATTCAACAGCACGACACATCGCGTGATGCGCACGGCACGCCGGCCCGCCGAAACACTCGCACGGAAAGAGGCGAACACGTCGCAGCGGGCGGGACTCGAACCCCCGACCTTTGGTGTGGGAGAGCGGCAAGGTATTACTGGGCCACGGCGAATACATGTGTGTTCATGGTCAGAGTGCCCACAGAAATTGATTTACATGGCCAGGGATTTGGCCATGGTACGAGCCATGGTACGTGTGTGTTCATGGTCAGAGTGCCCACAGAAATTGATTTACATGGCCAGGATTGTGGCCATGGTACGTGTGTGTTCATGGTCAGAGTGCCCACAGAAATTGATTTACAAGACCAGGGTTGTGGCCATGGCATGTGCGTGGCCATGGTCTGAGTGCCCACAGAAATCGATTTACAGGTGTGTTCGTGGTCAGAGCGCCCACAGAAATTGATTTTCATGGCCAGGCTTGTGGCCATGGCATGTGCGTGTTCATCGCCACAACCCTGGACATGTAAATCAATTTCTGTGGACACTCTATGGGAAATCAATTCCATTGCCAGCTAGCAGCCAGCTGCTCCCATGGACACGTTTTGACCATGAACCATTGTGCCTTCTTGTCATGGTCAATTTCTTGTCCATAGATTTATGAAACGATATGGTCATGAAAACGACCGTTGACACCCCATGGGAACACCCATATCGAATCCACATAGCTGGGACGTGGTCGAACCACCTTGACACGACGTGGATGATCGAGTCGATCATCCAGTGCCAAACGGTAGTAGATTTCACGATTCACGTAGAACCAACATTGATCAGTCCGCCCCTACACGCTGTTCCGACGTAGAATGATCCTGCACTCTAAAGAAAATTACAGTTTTTTGTATCTAATTTGATATAGTTTTCTGTATCCGA